GATCAAATTTCTTTAATTTTTCTCTTTGTTTATGTTATCAACTATGTTTCCAAACTTTTACCTCTGGAGAATCCAAATTTTAATTATTTTCCTGTTAAAATGTTTCAGAATGCAACTATATTTTAACAAAGCTATTTAATCTCGTGTATGTGAGATTTTAAAAGGGAAAATGAGTACCTTCACAAATTAAAAGAATTAAAAAAGACTTCTTCAGAATCTTTAGCCAGTATCGCCATGTATACTTACCTCTTTCTTTTCAGTGCCATGAACCATTGTAAGTGCCAGGTTCATTGTTGTGGCATGCTGAAATGATTGAGTGGGAATGGTGCCCAGCACTGCACGGTAAAATAATCAATCTCCAAACACACTGTCCTGTGCTGCATACATCTGCCCAACTAGATATTCTTTGATGCTTTGTTGATTGCTCTTGTGCTTGGTGAAGAATTCAGAACTCAAATTTGAATACAATATTAAGACCATTACTATTTGTAGTGAATCTGTGCATGCAATCTAGAGTCATCTATTTTTGGAATTGCATCCTGCACTCTTCCTTTCCTTCAGTCATGTAATCAGAATGTATAAGTGGACTTTGTTGTGTTATATGCTTATTCTAGTGGATTAGAAATCCCATTCTTTATCTAGGTTCTAATGGGATTAAATTCAGATTTCTTGGTAAAGGAAACAGCTTAAAACCAGCCAACCAATAGCAGTCGCTTTATTTTCTATGTTAAGTCATCCCCATTTGGAAAATCCAATACTGTTTTTGCCCCCATTGGTTAACGTGTGCAAACTGAGTTCCAAAGTGCACCCTCTGTTAGCACAAAACCAACACAAATGAAGGTGTTTGCCTAGGTCTATTAAGACCCCATTTCTAGACAGAACTTGTGAATGACAGATGCTTTCAAAAATATCTAGAAAATGTAAGTCTTGATATACATGATTAAGAACAAAAGAAGACACAAAGAAATTTTTCAAGAAAATAGGGAAAAAATACAAAATTTAATGTTACTTTTCTTTTAATAATCATCTTTTTCTTTCTTGAAGTTACAGAATTACCTCAATTCCTGCTTACTTTCTGCAAGTTTCTAGATGGCTCTCTAAAGCATTTGCCAGAAGGTGGCGACAAAAGTCCTGATTGCCCAGACCTGTCCCAGGTGCTGATCCCAGTTTCGAAGCCCTAGAGAAACTGGTCAGCGATCGCCAAGTTCTCCCTAAAGGTTTGCAAGCTCTGGTAAGAAAAGCAAAGGGCCATTAAAAAACAAAACAAAACAAAACAACAACCCGACCTCATTTACAACACAAAGGCAAACTATTCCCTTCTCTAAATTCACTTGCCACAAAGCTATGGGAGGGAGATGGCAATGTTCACTGAAATTAAAAAGGCAATGGTGAGGGAAAGGCAGGTTTGTGTGTGTGTGTGAGTGTGTGTGGAATACATACCGAATTGATTTTTTCTTTCACTTTGAGATGCAGCTGTTTACCTGTCCTTTGACACACCCTTTATAATTGCTTTCTCCCCCAGTTTCTCAAGGTTAAAAAAAGTCACAGGCAATATCCTCCCCAAAAGAGTCGGCCTGTATTGTGAGATGATAAACGGGGGTGGTTTTTAAAAAGCTAAGACACATTCCATCTTCTTTCCATCAATTAGTAATAATAATTTACAGACTGACCAGGGCTGTCCATCTCCCCATTCGGGCTCCGTGTGCCTCCTTTTCTCATTTCCTATTGCCACTCCGTGATGCTGACTCTCCTTAAGAATCGGACAGAAATACGAAGCAGCGGGTAATTAGATTTTTCTCCCCTCAATTTTGGCTGGGTGGGAGGCGGAGTTATTTATTGTAATGTTGGTCTGACCGGCGGATCCGCTGTGTGTAAGCGAATTCTGAGTCTCTTGTCGACAAAAAGGGAATTGAACGCAAAGAGGCTGAGCTAGAGGGAGAGGAGGGCGGGGAACCAGGGGGAAAGAGACACCAGGGGTTGGGGAAGTGTTAGGAAAGGAGAGTTAGCGTAGGAGGGAGGGAGACGGGCTGTCGGAGCAGCACACGGAGGGATAAAGAAAGGGGAGTGAGAACCGAGAGGGAGACCGAAAGGGAAGGATAGTGGGAGACAGAGGGAGACGGAGGAGACTTACAAGAAAGAGAAGAGAGGAGAGGAGAGACAGGGAGGAGGAGAAGGAGAGGAGGACTGGAGAGTGACTGTGGAGGATGGTGTTTCTCTATTCCAGATACTTCTAAGATTGGAGACCCTTTTGGTAGTGGGGAGACTCCGGGTCTGGCAGCCAGTTAGGCAGCGGCAAAGTAAAATGTACAGCGAGAGACAGACGTTCTGGCCACCTCTCCGCGTCTCAGAGATCCCGGAGCTGTTCTCCGGCCAATTCGTCTCTAAGCTGGAGTCTCTGAGCGCGCTGGACTACGAGAGCCCAGGGAGCGACTAGAAGCTCGCTGCCCCGCGGAGATGCCTTCGCCTGAGCAGTAAGAACTTCCTGCTTGAGTCCCTGCATCCGCTCCCTCCTGAAACTCCCCAGGACAGAGGGGAGGAAGACCCCAGGGGGAGGGGGGAGGGGGATCCTGGCGCAGCTCTTTCTCCCCTCCCCTCCCCCGCCCGGCACGCAGGCATGGATCTGCTCAGCTTTGGACAGGGCAACAACACCACGTCGCCCCAGGGTCCCTTCGGGATACGCGGCAACGCTACTGACATCTCCGACGTGACCTTCAGCTACCAAGTGATCACTTCTCTCCTGCTGGGCACGCTCATCTTCTGCGCGGTGCTGGGCAATGCGTGCGTGGTGGCCGCCATTGCCCTGGAGCGCTCCCTGCAGAACGTGGCGAATTATCTCATAGGCTCACTGGCCGTCACCGACCTCATGGTGTCGGTGCTGGTGCTGCCCATGGCCGCGTTATACCAGGTGCTCAACAAGTGGACTCTGGGACAGGTCACCTGTGACCTGTTCATCGCCCTCGACGTGCTGTGTTGCACCTCGTCCATTCTGCACCTGTGCGCCATCGCGCTGGACAGGTACTGGGCCATCACGGACCCCATCGACTACGTGAACAAGAGGACGCCCCGGCGCGCCGCTGCGCTCATCTCGCTCACTTGGCTCATTGGCTTCCTCATCTCCATTCCACCCATGCTGGGCTGGCGCACCCCTGAAGACCGCTCGGACCCGGACGCATGCACCATCAGCAAGGACCATGGTTACACTATTTACTCCACCTTTGGCGCCTTCTACATCCCTCTGCTGCTCATGCTGGTTCTCTACGGGCGCATTTTCCGAGCCGCGCGCTTCCGCATCCGCAAGACAGTCAAGAAGGTGGAGAAGAAAGGAGCCAACACCCGCCTTGGGGCGTCACGGACCCCGCAGCCCAAGAAGAGTGTAAATGGCGAGCAGGGGAACAGAGACTGGAGGCAGGGCATAGAGAACAAGGCAGCAGGGCCTCTGTGCGCCAACGGCGCCGTGAGGCAGGGCGAAGACGGCGCCGCTCTGGAGGTGATCGAAGTGCACCGGGTGGGCAACTCCAAAGAGCACCTGCCGCTGCCCAGCGAGGCGGGTACTGTCCCCTGCGTCCCCGCCTCCTTCGAGAAGAAAAATGAGCGCAACGCAGAGGCCAAGCGCAAGATGGCCCTGGCCCGCGAGAGGAAGACGGTGAAGACGCTGGGCATTATTATGGGCACCTTCATCCTCTGCTGGTTGCCCTTCTTCATCGTGGCCCTAGTTCTGCCCTTCTGCGAGAGCAGGTGCCACATGCCCACCCTGTTGGGCGCCATAATCAACTGGCTGGGCTACTCCAACTCTCTCCTCAACCCGGTCATTTACGCCTACTTCAATAAGGACTTCCAAAACGCGTTTAAGAAGATCATCAAGTGCAAGTTCTGCCGCCGATGATGACGGAGTAGCTGGCTAGTAGGCCCACCCCAACCAGTCTGCCTCCTCCAGCCCTCTGCAATCAAAACCTTTGCTAGCTTTCCTCTGACTTTCTCAGCTGCTTGGCCCGCTGCTTCCAGACCTCGTCCCCCCCGCCCCCGCCCCGCCCCCAGCCCTCAATCCCCTGCGCGGAAGGAGGGCGCACTGTGCGAAGAGGTTCCAGAGGCGGGGCAAGAGAGTCTGGGAAACTACCCGGATCTGTGACGTGCGTCTGAGGCTCAAACTTTGGCCTCAGAATCAGTTTTGATCCCAGCAATTGCCTCTTCCCTCTTCTGCCCCTTAAATCTTCACGGCTGAAGTTTAAGCCTCAGCGGTCCACGGCAAAAAAAAAAAAAAATTTCACACAGGCCCTGCGCCCACTAAAGGCTCCCACCTGATCACTTCACTGCTAGGACTCGGACTTACTGTTCAGAGTGCTGAGCTCCATCCCCCAACAACCCCACCCCCGCCACGCCCTCTGGCCCTAGAAATGTTTAGTTTGTTTTTTTTGTGGGGTTTTTTTTTTTTCGGTCTCATTCCTTCTTTCCTTTCCTATCTTCCCTTTTTTGCCCTCTCCAGTCCCTAAGCAGTAGTTCGCTAGTCGGGAAAGGTGGGAGGGTCGGCTTCAGTGTCCCCGGGAATCCCCGCCTTCAGGTGCAGCCTCGCAGAGTAGCTCCGCCGCGCACAAACCCAGGCTTTGTTTGCTTGGATTCAAGACAAGTGGCCAGAAGTTGTCTCTTAAAGTGAACTTCTAAGTGTAAGGCTGGGCCAGTGGGAGAGAGCGAGGAGACAGTGCAGAACGAATTTATCCGTTCTTGCCTTGGTGTCAGCACTCACCAAAGAAACTGACAGTTACTGGGAAGGGAGAGCAGACTTGTATTAACTGGTTGCTGGCGAAGTCTGTGCGTGTTGGCATCGCCACTTACCTACTGTGGGAGGCGCCCGCCGGCCACACAGCGCGCGCTGGAGGCGCCTAGCTGCCAGGAGTCCGCGCGTCTGCCCAGCTCTCTCAGTTCTGGCGTGCGCTGCGCGCGCGCAGCGAGAACTATTGCGGAGCTGCTGGATCCCTCCGCCTACGCCCAGGACCCGCTGAAGAGGAGGTAAACAACAGTTCCGGTTTGCGGAAGCTGGCGGCGTTAGGTTCCGCGGAGTTCTCGGGCCCCGAAAGACCAGCAGGACGCAAGGCGTGGCGTTGTCCAGGTGGCTCTAGCTGGCACACCCCTTGGAACCTGAAATGACAGTATTATCCAAAGGATGCGGACTCTTTCCTCTTAATTCACCCTCTAATTCCAATAGGGAGATAGTTCTGCTTAGCACGTCCTAGCACCACACAGGATTTGTTCTACTGGACGTCCAGGACACTTAGTTACCAGGACCTTTGTTTCCAAATGGGAATTCTGGGCTTTCAGTAGAATGCGCCCCTATAGGTTAAGCACTATCCGTGACCTCAGAGGCGCTTAACTTAAATAATGAGCCCCTAAAGGACTAGTTAGGTGTACTCTCTCTCTGGAGTCCCTGAGAATCAATCATGTACATTTGCTGCTTGGCTTGACTGTCCTGCACCACAGATTTGCCAGAAACCGGCCTCTTGCCATTTGAATATCGTGGAGCACTCCAAGCTTTCTTCCTCTCAAAAGTTATCCTTTCAGCCTTGCCACTCCCGCTGAAAAACAGGTTATAATCCTTACTGCCCCCCCGAACGGAAGTTTTTCGGTGCTGTATTTGAATGTAAATTTTATCCACGTGACCGTGACCGTGACCGGGATCAAGAGGTTTGTTAAAGTTAGATCTAGCCTCTAATTTTCTGATGAATAACTGTTTCGTTCTGCGGTAATTGCACGAATTTATAATTCTTACTCCCCTCTCCCTTCCTGTGTACATTTAGAATGATTGCGTCTGCTGTTTTGAGAACCATGTTGCAAATGTTGCCAATGAAAAGTTCACTTGTGCTAAAATTAGGAAGGTGAAAAGACAGCTGTATCACTTGTAGTCACTTTATTGTTTTTGTCAAGCGGAACAAAGCCTCTATTTTTTTTTTCAGACCTAAACTGAGAGTAAGCATCATATCCCGTTAAAACAGAAAAAGTCTAAGAACTCTGGGAACTCAGTGGATGGTTTGTCTATGCGTATGTAATACTGATAAGGGGCTAATGGTAGATAAAATAAGGGAGACTTCTCCAGTCTATCAA